CATGATTTTAGATTTTAGCCTGATTTTTCACTCGCCGACAGGTTTTTCGAAATCGCAGACAAATGCCCGAGGGAAATCGGAAATCGGTGCTCGTTCACGCGAGTGACAATCACGACTGAAGTTACACAATCACGCTGTGTTCAATGAGTTCTGACTGAAAAACACAACGGCGATGACCTACAGCCAATGAGAGACCAAGATACAGGGCAGCGGGAAGTTTGGGGAGGAGTTATATGAAACATAGTTTGCCAGTGTTGCCAAATCCGCGATTGCCGCCGGTTGTTTTTTTATGTCAGCAGGTTGAAGCGACCCCAATAAGTGATATTTAGGCCCTGGAATATGAATTGTACCAGGAGAACCCCACCAAAAAAATTTGTCATTTATCCCCCCAATCCGATTTTTACTGGGGGGACCCCCTCGAAAGCAATTGGGCTATTTTCAGGCTCGTTTTGAGTAGTAATTGGGTGGGTTTTATAGTGAAAACCTGGCAACCCTGCACCAGACAGAGCTGTCGGCGATTCTTCCTATTGTAAAGTCATGCAGTGTGTAACCTCCTGTCGTCGTTCCATCGTGCAGTGTGAACACAGCAACAACTGAATGCTACCCCAGATAGTCGTTCAGTGTGAAACCAACAGTGATGCGATGTCTGCGACGTCTTTGAAAATCGTGCAGTGTGAATTCGGCATTAGGGGGGCGATCTCTGTGAACCCGTGAATCATGCGAGTTCACTGAGATCGCCCCGCAGCGGCGAACCACTGCATCAGCATCTATGGTTATACGATCTCGGATCAGTTTGATCAATTTGTAGACATTTTTAATGAGACATTTGTGTAATTAAAAGGATGAGTAGTAGTTAATAGTCTCTTACTGGCCTGTTTAGACAAGCTCCATAAAACAAACAAAAGAAGCCCTTGCAAATTAATAATAGGCCTATTATACAGACATTTCATTTTTAATGGCATTTTATTATTTTGATTGCATTTAATATATTATACTTTCAAGAAAGCGTTTTCATTGGGTTTGGAAAAGCTGTTTTATGCATGTTTTGGTCTGAGTTTTTGTTGCATTTACACAGTTTTGACCAGCAGGCGTCACCAGCGTGTGGTGTTTCCAGCGCTTCGAAACAGTGAACCTTTTTGCGAAGCAATTGGTTCAATTTATTCGAAGCTTCGAAATGGTTCGTTTCTTCCATCACTATTGGAGACACGTAAAGCCCGATGCGGCGGCGTTTGCAACCAACATTGTTGGGACAGAAGAAATATATAAACTGCCTTTTTTTTTTTTTTTTTAAATGTCTGAAACGTAAGTTACTTATTTTAATTACTTCTAGAACTGATTTATAATTTTTTTATTATAAAATATTAAGTCACTATTATATTCATGCTGTTGTGAATATCGACACCTGCTTCGTGCCTATTATACAGTATTCCGAAACAGTTGCCACCAAAATGATTCCCAGCTCAAATCTGTGATATATATATATATATATATATATATATATAGCGTCATTACCTTATTCTTGCGCTAACGTAAAAATCATCGTACTGTATGTAATATTATCACTCCTACTCCACTGTAAAATTATGGCCACCCCCAACTTTTTATGGCCCACCCAAAATGGAAATCATTGCGGCGCTCCCGTTCGAAACAACAGCAGTCTTGGTAGTGTGATAATTCTTAGTTACACATGTTTACATGATTATTCAAGTGCATTATGTAACATATGAACTGAACTAAATTCGGTGTTAGTCAGAACATATTCGATAGCCATAACTGCATTAAATGATGGATAATATATAATCTCTAACGGTTATATCTAAGGTTATTGATGTTTTTTATGAAAGCCCTGAAAATGCTCTTAGAGTAAAGGTATTCATAAATAAATAAATACCTGTCATACTGCGCGCGGAGTTTCATGATAAATCATCGATCTCCATTCTAAAGGCTATGGTGGTGTTTGAACGATCAAAACAAAATTACTCAAAGAGATAATAATCAAAACAGCTCATCGGCTAAAGGAGTTTAGTTTCAGCTTGACATTATTGTTCCGGGAGCCATCTGGTCTGACCTACTAAAGGAACCTGTGGCTCTGCTGGAAAGCAAAATGAAAGTCCTCAATAAGGCTGTCTCTTGCTTTCAAAATAAAAGCCCCATTTTAGCGATAAACTCAGTTCAACGAAAAAAATAATTTACTTACCCTCATGTTGTTCCAACCCCGTATTGCTTACGGTTTTTTTTGGAAAACAAAATAAGATGTTAAGCACAATGACAGAACGTGTCAATCACCTTTCCTTTGCGTCTTTTTCCTTATAAGGAAAGTGAATGGACACTGAGAGGCTCTTTGATGTACTGTATGTTGGTGCAAGCAACCCTTTAACTCACCTGAATTCAGGTTTTGTTGTTAATGTTCTGGTTGGTTGATAATGTCTCAAGGTGCCCTCATCCCAGTGATTGTTATATCTGTTTCTTTTTTCCACTGTCGAAACATCAGCTGGATTGTTTTGCTGAACTGGCCAAGTCCCACTGCTTTAACTTTTGAATCATAGTATATAGGCCTTCCCTTTCCTCCCTAGTCTACAGAGAACCTGCCTCTGAGGACCATGTCTACATTAGCAAATCAAAGTCCAGCCAATCTAAACACTCCCACTCATGTCCACGCCACTTGACCCAATGGTGCCTGTCTGCATGCTCCAAATGTGAACAAGCAGTGCCAATAAGCGATAAAAGCTGTTACATAGGGCCCCATGTCAGGGTTCAGACAGGAACATGAACGGTATTGTTATTGTTGGCACTTCAAAATATGCGAATAATTCTAGACATCTTATTATCCAAATAGTTTAGTTTTTAGAGTGCACATTAGCTTATTTTCCATCGACCAGTTAAGTTTTGCCACGTAAAGGTTCGGTCAGATTTTCTCTTTGATCTGAACAAAAGCAGCAGACGGGCTGAATAAAAATGCAAGTTCATTCTCTGACAGGAAGTGGCGCTTTAGTAACAGCAGAAATACAGCCATTACCATGGTTACCCCTGCACACATAGCAGCAATGTGCCAGCTCAACTTTCTATTCCTTTTTGTTCATTTTTGTGTGTGTGTGTGTGTGTGTCTATTATCTAACGATAAACATTAAATATAACATGTTTCATAAAATACCACTACTGGCCAAATTTCTGAGAGGTCAACTAATGTGTTAAAATGTCAAAAAAAAAAAAAGCACTGAAATGAATGGGCTTCAGTGCTGGAACTTTGGTTGTTTGGAACTATTGGCTGCTCCATGACACGCTTTACTTCCGCATTCCTCAGTTCTTATGGAAGCCTATGGGAGTGTCGCAACTCTGTTTCTCAACGGCTCTGGTGTTTATCAAATAACACCAAATACTCTGTTATTTTCTACTGGAGCAATCTCTTTAATAATGTAAATTTGACTCTAGTTTGGTTATTACCGCACAAATCCCTCCTTACAAATAAGGTTAAGGAAATCTCATATAAATTAATTCATAGAGTTTATTCTACAAAAGAATTTCAACAAAAATGTAAAAATGATATTGATTTTAAATGCTCTTTCTGTGAATGTTCCACTGAAACAGTTACTCATATGTTTTGGTCCTGCCAACATACCCAGCATTTTTGGAATAATGTGAAGTTTTTTATTGTTGACAATATTTTAAAAAACATTTTCCTTACCTTATAAACATGATTTTGGGTTATTATATCAAGGATCATTCTTTAAAGGTTGTTGGTTTTAATATACATTTTATTTTATTTTTCTGTAAATTTCACATGCATAAATGCAAGTTTATAAAGGGCAAACCTCTTTTTACAGTGCTTGAAATTTTTTTTAAATGTAAGTGTATATAGATGTGATGTCAAAGTCTAACAGTAAAGCAATTTAAAAAGTTGCTATGCTCCTCCTTTAACATTTTCACATAACAAACTGTTTAATGGTGCTTACTTGCAAAGTATATTTTCTGTATTAAAATTGCATTTAATATCCTATGGAAATGTAAAATATGTAAAGTATATATTTTTCTGTATAACTGATGTTTATGTATCCTCTCTCCTTTTTTTCTCCTTGTTCATTCTTGCTGCATGTGAATGTTTTCATATTATACAGTGGGATGTGCTATTATTATACATGATATTTGTTGACAATAAAGCATTAAAAAATATTTTTTTACTTTTTCAAAAAATCTCAAGTTTAGCTTCATAAAACCTGCAGAAATTCTGTAAAGAGTTGCATGATGTCTGACTTCAGATGATCTCTCTCTTTCTTTCTTTGCACCAGTCATCAAGGAGTCAAGCCCAAAACAAGGTTAATTAGGTCACCCCCTCTCCTTCACTACCATATAATCATGTTACTCAACATGGAGGCTGGAAGTTGACGTCTGAATACAGTAAGCGTAGCTCATAGAGCTTAACTTGACACATAAATTGCTACCTGTCAGATATGAATGGACATATCAAGAGTAGGATGTGGATATAGTGAGGAGTCAAGTCAAGTCAAGTCAAAGTTTATTTATAAAGCACTTTTTTTTTAAAACAAGTGTTTATCAAAGTGCTATACACACATAAAATAATAAAAATGTCAAAGATACCAACAGTCAACAACACAAAAAAAAGACAATAAGACACCATAAAATAATCGAAGAAAGCAGCTCTCATGTAGTGTCAAATGCCAGACTATAAATGACAGACAAACCCCCTCTCTCTCATTTTTTTATATCTCTGTCTCTCCTTCCAGTCTTATTTCATGTGTGTGTGTGTGTGTGTGTCTGTGTGTGTGTGGTTACATTTAGCCAGACCCCCACTGACAACCCCTCTTTTCACATTTATGATTTTTTCTCATCTGAAATGGAGATTATGTGCATCTGCCCTTCAATTAGGTCACTAAATGGCTTTTAGCAGCATGAAAACATGCTTACATAAATGCCACATCTCTGCCATATCATACAAACATCTCAGTCATCTCCATATTTGATTGACAGATCTCTTGCAGTTGTTATGTTTAGCTGATATCCACTTCTGTCTTACAAAACAGCAATATAACAATGGCTGCTGTAAATAAATTATTATTTTGTGCAGTGTGATTTGTACAAAGTATAAAGTGCAGACAGACAGATAGATAAATGGATGGATAGATGGATAGATGAGTAGGATGATTTAGGATAGATAGATAGATAGATAGATAGATAGAGAGTAAGTACGTTGGTAGTTATGTTTATATTAGATAGATAGATAGATAGATAGATAGATAAAGAGTAGGTTGGTAGTTATGTTTATATTAGATAGATAGATAGATAGATAGATAGATAGATAGATAGATAGATAGATAGATAAAGAGTAGGTTGGTAGTTATGTTTATATTAGATAGATAGATAGATAGATAGATAGATAGACAGACTGTATGTCCTCATTATATGTGGACAGATGTCTTTATGCTCTGTATTTTTGTCCTCAGGGAGCTTCTCTTACACTCCCATTACTCTCGAGTGCTTGATCAATGGCTCCACCTTCACACTGCAGTTATTAAGCCTAGACTTTCAATTATTTTACAGTGGGTCGTCAACATATCTCTCAGAGATACACAGTACGGCACATCATTATGCGTTAATTAATGTCAGCTTCCTGTACTTTAAATGTACATACATTAGCATATATCACACATGCTGGGCCGACTGCACAAGGTCGATTACTATTGCCTGCTATTGACTGACTTCCCTCCAGAAGGATTCTTTGATGAAAAGGAAGCATGTCACAGCTGCTGCTTGACCTTTGGATTGTAGCAACACAAATCCAGCATTCAACACGAAATATGAACATTCTCATGTCTGGAATTAGCAGTCAGATGTTAGACTAATAGGCACTTTCCATGAATAGGGTACAAACACAGGGCCTGAAATGCTTGGAAAATGTGAAAGTCATTTTTTCAGGAGGTACTTAACCTTCAGAAGATGATGATTGTCAACCTCAGGAAGTCAAACAAAATTTTATATGAGCTATTTTATTTTATATTAATCTTAAATGACATTTGCGGTTTGTGCAGTCCTGTTACTAAACACTAGTTTGTGTGAGTTTACTTTTAAATAAAATAAGGAATACAAAACTAATAAAAAAAATTGCATTTATTAAAAAGTATTATTAAATATACTATATTAAATATAATATTGCTAAAAGCAGTATTAAAGGAACAGTTTAGCCAAAAATTTAAATTCTGTCACTTAAATTCTGAACCATGCCTTTAAAAAATGTTTAACATTAAATAAACAGCAAATTAAACAGGCAAATAAATAAATACTTTTTGTCTTACAAAGTCTCTTTGCCACAATGATGTGAATATCAGTTGTATATATTACTAAAATTATGTGAGCCAAAATCAAAATTTTAAAATGACATTTAAAACTAGGTAATTTTCAATTTAATAATAATTTTTCTATTTTGGTTGTATGTTAGATAATAGGTTATCTAAAATTTCTAATAGTTCTTGCGGCAAAAAATATGGGTTTTGTACCTCTAATTCTTAAAGGGTATAGTTCACTCAAAAATGAAAATTACCCCATGATTTACTCACCCTCAAAGAATCCTAGGTGTATATGACTTTCTTCTTTCAGACGAATACAATTGGAGTTATATTATTATATGTCCTGGCTCTTCCAAGCTTTATAATGGCAGTGAATGGGGGTCGTGATTTTCAAACCCAAAAAAGTGCATCCATCCATCATAAAAAAGTGCTCCACACATCTCCGGGGGGTTAATAAAGGCCTTCTGAAGCAAGCAATGCGTTTGTGTAAGAAAATGATCCATATTTAAAACTATATAAACAGTAATTTCTAGCTTATGCTAACTGTCATACTCCCGTTCACTATGGCGTTCCAGCATATGTAGGACGTAGGCATAGCGTAAGCTCCGGTGAGAAGTGAAGAACGCAGAAGCAGAGAAGAGAGAGCAAAACAAAACACGGGTCACGAATTAGAAGTACAAAACAAGGATTTGTGACGAAAAATGTCTGAAGATTTTGATGAAAGCCAAGAGGAGACATGGTTTTACTTTGCTGTGAACAAAACTTGGTTCTCGTGAGACTAGCATAGTCTCACCAGACGTCCTACGTCATCTGTTGGAATGCTACTCCCTCATGAATGCTCTACGACTGTTCGCAGAAGCTAGAGATTACTGTCACGCTTGGTGCTTATAAATGGGTGCACAATAACGAAGAAATAATCCACAATAGTCTTTTATTAATAAATCCACAAGGAACACAGGGGAATCACTAGAACCAATGTAGCACAAAACGTAGACACAAACAATAACTGGCACCAACTGAACAGAACAGGGAGTATAAATACAAAGGCAAGCGATGGACTAATGACTTAATTAATTAAAACACAGGTGAACAGAATGACATAATTAGGACAACTCAGGAAAACTAGGTCACAATGGAGAGAACCAAAAATAGAATGAAACAGCAAATAGAAAACAGCAGACACATTACAATTATGGTGTATAAAGTTTTAAATATGGATCTTTTTCTTACATAAACGCATCGCTTCACTTCAGAACCCCCCGGAGATGTGTGGAGCACTTTTTATGATGGATGGATGCACGTTTTTGGGT